ATAAATGGAGAAAAGATCGAGGTTGTCAAAGAATTCACATTGCTTGGTTCTATAATCGATGCCAATGGAAGTAGCAGTCAGGACATTAGATGTATAGCACCGGGCAAGTCGACTGCAAAGGACCTCTTTCAAGTACTGAGGAGCAAAGATGTCTCCTTGAGTACTAAGGTGCGTCTGACACAAGCCATGGTATTTTCAATTGCCTCATATGCACGTGAGAGCTGGATAATGAATAAGGAAGACCAAAGAAGAGTTGATGCTTTTGAGTTGTGGTGTTGACTAAGAATAATGAAAGTACCATGGACTGCTAAAAGAACTAACAGATCTGTTCTGGAGGAAGTGCAGCCAAAATGCTCCTTGGAAGTGAGAAGGGTCAGACTTTGTCTCACCTACTTTGGTCATATTGTCAGAAGGGACTATTTCCTGGAGAAAGATGTCATGCTTGGTAAGGTGGAGGGTCGACGAAAGAGGGGAAGGCCTTCAATGAGATGGATTGACACAGTGGCTGAAACGATGGGCTCAAGTATAGCAGGCATCGCAGAGCTGGTGGGGGATCGGATGGTGTTTCGTTCTGCTGTGTATAGGGTTGCTGTGAGTTGGAAACAACTCAACGGCACCTAACAACAACTTTTTCAAAGATAATTCACTCTCAAGAAACTGATTTTTCCTAAACCTCCCTATGATGGTTAGCTTTGTTTCAGCTTGGATGGGCTTTATTAAAATAAAACTCACTGCCCTCAAGTTGATTCTTACTCATACTGATCCCTCCTTGGGTATCCTAGGCGGTATCTCTATGGAAGTAGATTGCCCAGTCTTCCTTCTGAAGAGTGGCTGGTGGGTTTGAACTGCCAGCCTTCTGGTTAGCAGTCTAATGCATTAGGCACTGTACCACCAGAGCTCCTACAGTGCTACCAGGTATGCACTGACTGTTAAAAGAGCGTCACTTGGAACATCAGAGGCAGGAGAGAATGAGTTCACCGTGCCTGAGTGCTGTAATAAAAGTATTTTTAATCTTTCTCCACAAGATAAAGAAAAGTAACTACTTCAGTGGTGGAAGGGCACATGAAAGAGGGGGAAGCAAAATGTAACCCCCCATCATTGCTTTGAAAAGGACGGGTGCGTAACTGCTTAATCTCTCTAGATGGTGGTATGTGTGGTGGGGAAGGGCTCAAAGTATGGAAACAGGCAAACTGGGATGGAATCGTAGCTCAACTACTTGTCACCTCTGTGACCATGGGCAAAAGTGTTAACCTGTATAAGACAAAAACTACAGGAGATGTAAAGAGAAACAAATATATAGAAATGCACAAGTAACAGGAAGTTTGAACATACTACTCTTGATATCAGACAGAACAAATGGACAAAAAATAAGTGAAAATATAAAGGAACATAATCAGCAAAGCAGAGATTTTGTACGTATATAAAACACTAATGTCTCAAAATAGAGAGTAACCTCAAGGGCACATGGAATGTTCAGAAAATCTGATCCATATGCTAGGGCACAAAGAACATACCAGCAGGTTCCATAAAGTAAAAATACTACAAACAGCACTATCAGGTCACAGTGCAATAGAACCAGAAAGTGAAAATGAAACTAAAAAATTAAAGGATCAGCCCTCAAACACATTCCAACTTTCTTAAATATCCACTGCTGACCAGTCGAGTCCAATTCCTAGTGACCCTAAAGGACGGAGGAGAACTTCCCCATAGGGTTTCCAAGGCTGTCAATCTTCACAGAAGCAGATTGCCACATCTTTCTCCTGTGGAGCAGCTGGTGGGTTCAAACCATGGCCCTTTTGGTTAGCAGCTGAGCAATTTAAGCACTATGCCACTAGCGCCGGACTTCTTAAATACAAGTACTACATATAAGAATATGCTTTGAAATGTTTAATAAGTTTTATAAAATTTGTAATGTTTTGGGAGGTGACTAATGTTATTTTAAGCAAGAAATTTTAACTGTTTCCTAGTCCCTGTGTAAGAACTAAGAATTTAGGAATAAACATAAAAATTAACCACAAGAACCTCTTTATAAAACATAAAAATTATCCATAAGAACCTGTTTATAAAATCATCTTCTCTTCTAAACTCACACAGTAGTCAGATGTTAAACACACAGCCTTACTATCATAAGGTCATAAATATTTTCTCAAGTAATTCTTATTAATACATGCGGGTAATTCTCTTTGTTAAATTCAAGCTAGAGCTAGAAATAATAGCTGGTTATTACTATTATAATTATTTCTTTCAATTATTTTCTTATAATTACTTCTTTCGAGACGTAAATGGTAATTTAAAAATAAATGACCTGATGTAAAGTTATCCCCTTTGGTTTCAGCGCCTGCTCACCTAGCACGGCCCAGCTAACAGTCTGATTCAGAAGAGGCAGCCCTTGTTTCCGGAGGAGACTGTCATGGGTGCTATTCACAACAAGCATGGACAGCACCGTGCTCAGCATCTGATACAGGAAAAAGGGGAAATAATTTGGAGGGTGGTGATGGATAGATAGATAGGCATTATCTCTATATATGTTATATAGTGTATAAAAAACCAAACTCACTGCCATGGAGTCGGATCCGACTCATATCGACCCCTCCTTAGGTTTCCAAGGCAGTAACTCTATGGAAGTAGATTGCCCAACCTTCCTTCTGAGGAGTGGCTGGTAGGTTTGAACCACCTGCGTTCTGGTTAGCAGTCAAATGCCTTAGGCACTACATCACCAGAGCTCCCATAGGATAGATAGATAGATAGATAAATTATATAATATATAAAATTGATATACCAGAAAGAATGTGTAGAAAGCGCTGTGAACGAATGAAATCTGGTCAAAATGCCACTGAAATGGACCCAAATCACCATCTTGTGGCCACAGTAAATCAGTGCTCTTGCACCAAGCAAAAGTGTTCCTTTCTAAGCATGAAAGGATGCATTTTACACTCTCAAGAGAATTCTGGCACATACTATTGCATTGTTTTTTATTCAGAAGGATTCATAATTAATGTGAAAGGTTTCTGAAATCACAGGAACAAACAGAGTGAAATGTATATACTTTAGTGTGTATAGCTTAGTGTCTTCCACCTCTGACCCTCCTCTACTACAAAATCCATTCATTCACTCACTCATTTATTCATATACCTGTGGCCTGAATATGTATCCTAGCATTGAAAATACAGAGTATAAATACCTTTTAGAGACAATTTATAAACTGGTGTTGTTGTTGCTGTTGTTACGTGCCGTGGAGTCGGACTCAACTCATAGGAACCCCTCCTTGGGTTTCCAAGGCGGTAGACTGCCCAACCTTTCTTCCAAGAAGTGGCTGGTGGGTTTGAACTGCCAGCCTTCTCGTTAGCAGTCAGGTACCTTAAGCACTACGCTACCAAACCTATTGCCACTGAGTCAAAGCCCCACTCATACCAACCCTATAGGATAGGACAGAATACAACTGCCCCATAGGGTAGTAAATTGTTATGGAAGCAGACTGCCACATCCTTCTCCCGTGGAGTGGCTGGTGAGTTTGAACCAGTGACCTTCCAATTAGCAACTGAATGCTAACCAGGTACCACCAGGGCTCCTTATAAACTTGTAGTATAAACCAAACTCATTCCCATCAAGTTGGTTCTGACTCATAGCAACCCCTCCTTGGGGTTGCATCTCCAAGGTGGCATCTCTACAGAAGTAGACTGTCTTCCTTCTGAGGATTGGTTAGTGGGTTTGAACCGCCAGCCTTCTGGTTGGCAGTCAAATGTATTAGGTACTATGCCACCACAGCTCCTATAAACTAGTATAAAAAAATGAACTGCCAGCCTTCTGGTTAGCAGTCAAATAACTTAAGCACTACGCCACCAAAGCTCCCATAAACTAGTATAGGAGGTGGCAAACTACTACAGTTTGTAGGCTGGTAGCCCATTTTTATACATAGTTTTATTAGAATGCCACTCCCATTCATTTACACATTGTCTATGTTTTCTTTTATGCTACAATGACAGAGCTGAAAATTTGGGGCTGATACCATATGACCCACAAGTCTAAAAGATATACTATCTGATATAGGGTCACTGTGAGTGGAACTGATTTGACTGCAGTGGGTTTCGTTCTTCAGAAAAAATTCTTCTGACTCCTGAACTAGCAGATGAACTACTATTGTAAAGAAATTAGCTTAGTTAAGTCTGTGGATTAAGTAAATTCTCTCATAGATTAGATCAGGAGTTTTCTTACACAATCCTAGATAGCAAATTTATTCTCAAATTATCAGTGAATTAGAAGAAAAATTGCAGTCAATACAGCCAGAACACAACCTTAATGGGATCCTTCCAATTATAAGACATCCTCTCACTTCAGAGATGTTAAAATGTGAGGGAGATGTATTTTGGCGTTGGTAAACTGCCGTGTGCAGTCTGAGTGGTACGTGCTGGAGAACAGCCCAGATGAAGGGTGAAGTGTGTTTGCTCCTACTGTTGTTTTGTTCTTATGTTGCTGTTAGGTGCTGTCAAGTTGGCTCCGACTCATAGTGCCCCTACGAAAATAGAACGAAACACTGTCCAGTCCTGCACCAGCCTCACAATCCTCGCTATACCCGAGCAAATTGTTGTAGCCGCTGTGTCAGTCCATCTCCTTGATGGCCTTCTTTTTTTCACTGACCCTCCACTTTACCAATCATGATATCCTTCTCCAGGGAATAGTCCCTTCTGACAACATGACTAAAGTAGGCGAGACGAAGTCTGGCCATTCTTGCTTCAAGCCTATTAAACACTATCTATCTAAGGAGCATTCTGGCTGCAATTCTTCCAGGAAAGATCTGTTAGTTCAGAAGAACTAAGCCCGTGGTACTTTCAGTATTCTTTGCCAACACCACAACTCAAAAGCATCAACTCTTCTTTGGTCTTCTTTATTCATTGTTCAGCTCTCACATGAATATGAGGCAACTGAAAACACCACAGCTTGCATTAGGTGCACCTTTGTCTTCAAAGAGACATCTTTGCTCTTCAGCACTTCAAAGAGGTCTTTGCAGGAGATCTGCCCAGTGCAATAGGTCATCTGATGTCTTGACCGCTGCTTCTACTGGTCTGATTGTGGAACCAAGTAATAGGAAATCTTTGACAACTTCAAACATTGTTCCATTTACAGTGATACTGCATATCGGTCCAGTTGTGAGGATTTTTGTTTTCTTTATGTTGAGTTGTAATCCATACTGCAGACTGTAGACTTCAATCTTCATCAGTCAGTGCTCATATAGTACTTGGTAAATTGGGTATGCATTTTAGTCAGAAGAAAATTAAAAAGTGTCTGTTATTCAGAAAATAAATGAGAGTAAAAAAAGAAACCAAATAAATAGAAATACCTTTAAATGTTTAGCAGGGTAGTGTTGAGGTGTAGCAGTTCATATGTGAAATACTTCAAAGTTATGGTCTTGCACATAGTAAGCACACAGTCATTGTTTCCCTAATGACTGCATAAAGACAGATGCAAGAATAAATGGGCTTTAAATTTAGTATAGAAAAATATGATAAATATTTACTGCAGTTAGGCCAACAGAAGGAGTGGACATGACCCTGAAAATTATTTTAATATTAACAAAAATAATGTTTTCACAATTTTGAGCACCATTAATTGTGAAGTAATAATGCTTAACTTTGAAAGACAGAGATATAAAAATATTTAGTGTATTTTAGGGTTTTTTTGGGAAAAAAGAACTAAGAAAGCTAAACAAGCAAAATTTTGTCAATAACAGGAATTGAATGTAAATTAATAAAGTTAAGGCAGAAAGGAATTTTGTAATGGATTTATTTTATACTCAGGCTATTTCTGACAAAGCACATAAGAACTGTAATATTTTCTTGCTTCTATAGGGTGAGATTCAGAAATATTTACTTCTGTCAAAGTATTCATCTGAGAATTCTGTCAGAGCAAATATGTATGGGCTTTAGTATAAAGCCAGTAAGTGCACCATGGAAAACAGAACACATGTTCCAACAGCTTGACAGGCTCTTTGACAAAATACTTCTTCTCTCGGTATAATTCCACTATTGCTGTAAAGAACAAATTTAAGATACCACTTTTAGCTGTTGTATTTATTTAATTTTAGAATGTTCATGGAAATCTTGTATACTACTCCAGGTTTGTCCTGAGGAAACTTTTTAAAAAAACTCTTCCGAGTTTTAATTTTGGTCAGTGTTTTAGATGCATTTCTTTTGTTTTGTTTAAAAGAAAAACAAGTGGTATTCACCCTTATCTATCAAAGAAAGTGATGCATTTACAGAATATTACTTGATATACTCACTAATTCTAACAAGCCTATTAAACATTATCTATACATAAAAGAGCTCTGGTGGTGCTGTGGTTAAAGCATTTGGCTGCTGATCAAAAGGTCAGTGGTTTGAACCCACCAGCCGCTCTGTGGGAGAAAGATGTGGCAGTCTCCTTCCATAAAGACTATAGCCTTGCAAACCTCTATGGGGCAGTTCTACTCTGTCCTACAGGGTTGCCTGGAGTTAGAATCAACTTGATGGCAGTGAGTTTGGTTTTGGTTATATTTTACTTTTTAAAAAAAAAAAAAAAAAAACCTAAAGTTAAATTACTTACAATTACACAACTATTATGAAGCATAACTGGAAAGTGACTAAATTTTAAAAAGGCCTATTTCAAAGTTTTTTCCACCACACCAGGTCACCAATCAAGCTGAAGTTTATTTTCTCCTTGGATATCATCTGAAGCCTTAACTGGCCATTCTTCATATAAGCACACACAGAGGCTGCTTTTACTTTAAAGAGGCTCAACTTTTTCAAGTTCAAGTTTACTTTTTCAACTCAAATGAGGACAGTACAGGATCTTGGTCCAGGGAAGGCCCTCTTCAGCTCAGCTTTTTGGACAGGTACAGTTCCCTCTAAGGTATCCTTAACCTGTGCTCTTGTGGCAGATTCAGGTGTTCTTCTGCCAACCAATTGGCTATGTCATACTTCTTAGAGAATATATTTCCATGTAATATTCTTAACAGAATTTTTTTTGTTGTTAGCTGGTAGGAATTAAGTGACTAAAATACCATGACATCTTAAGAACCACCTAATAAAATACAACCATTAAGATATATTTTGGTATATCATTAGTGTAACATAGTGCTGAAAATCTGTTACTCACCTGTAATAGATACACCACCAGCTCTTCCTTTAAAAAATTATCTTTTCTCAGGAGAGAGGTTATGACAAACAGGGACAGCAGAAGAATCAGAAAGCCTGCACCCATTCTGTTAAAAACACAGTTCAAAATTTAAAATTTCCACAAGATATATTTATTGAACACATATTATATGACAATATAAGACATTTGACTCTAATGCAGAACTTCTCAGTCATTTGGTTTAATCAAATGAAGGAATAAAATGGATATATAGGCATAAAATAGATAAAATTCTGGGGATAAAGATACTATGAGATAGTTGTAATCTCTCCCTCAAATTTTTAAAATATCTTTACCTTATTTCTATCATTTATTTTAAAAATTTCATGGATACCATTACCATAATTCTTGGTCTGACTTGGACAAATTTCCAAAATGCAATATAAAAGTTAATGAAACAAATAAATTGTCAATATATAATACATATATTTTGTGACTATTAGCACTTATTCATACAAAAAGTATCTACACTTATAATTAGTATTATTTCTATTAAAATCAAAAGGTGTGCATCAGGGCTATAAGCCTTCATCATACTTATGAAATCTGAATGCTGAGAAATAATCCAATAAGCTAATAAGCTGGACTATATGAAGAAAAATGTGGCTTCAGGATTTGAGGAAGACTCACTGACAACCTGCCACACGCAGATGACACAATCTTGCTGAAAGCCCAGAGGCCTTAAAGCACTTACTGATGAAGGTCAACGATCACAGCCTTCAGAATGGATAACACCGCAACACAGAGAAAACAAAAATCCTTGCAACTAGACCAATAACAACATCATGATAAGTATAGAAAAGACTGAAGCTGTCTAGGATTTCATTTGACTTAGATCCACAATCAATGCTCATGGAAGCAGCAGTCAAGAAATCAAACGATTATATTGCACTGGGCAAATCTGTAAACGATATATTGTATTGGGCACTTCTTTAAAGTGTTAAAGAGCAAAGATGCCACTTTGAGGATTAAAGTGTGCCTGATCCAAAGCAAGGTACCTTCATTCACCTCACATGCATGCAAAAGCTGAACAATGAATAATGAAGACTGAAGACATGTTGATGTTTTGCATTCTGGTATTGGCAAAGAATACTGAATATATCATGCACTGCCAGAGAACAAAAAGATTTGTCTCAGAAGAAGCACTACCAGAAAGGCAGGTAGTGAGATGGATGGCAGGACAGTGACACTTTGTCTCATGTACTCTGGACATGTTACCAGGAGGGACAAATCTCCAGAGAAGGACATTATTCTTGGTAAAAGAGAGGGTTAGCATAAAAGAGGAAGACCCTCAACAAGACAGACTGACACAGGGGCAGCAACAACAGGTTCAAATACAGCGATGGCTGGGAGGGTGGCACAGCACCAGGCAGCGTTTTGTTCTACTGTACACAGGGTTGCCACGAGTCAGAATTGACTTGGCGGCACCTAACCACAACAATCATTTCTGCCATCGACCTTGTGTCCCTCATTAAAGGAAGGGAAGGACACGGCCAGTGCTTGCCTGTCAGCATCTCCTCACACTGGCAGCAGGCGGATGAGGCATATGTCCTATAATGGGCCAAAAGATGATGCTCTTTCTGGACACATCCTGAAGTTGAAGGTGATCAACATCAAAGAAACAGCATATTATTGTCTGAGTTCCACCACCTCCTAAGAATCTAACAGAGGACAACTCAAATGATGTTTGGGCAGATTTTGGACCCTAGTAATATAACAGAACTAAGATGAAAGGAGGAGACAGCTCTGGTAGCATAGTGGCTAAGACACTTGCCTGCTAACCAGACGGCTGGTGGTTCAAACCCACCAGCCACTCCTCAGAAGGAAGGATGGGCAATCCTACTTCCGTAGTGATACTGCCTCGGAAACCCAAGGAGGGGTCGGGTTTGACTCGACGGCACATAACAACAACAAGATGAAAGGAGTTGGTTCATAGAAAAGAAAAGTAAAGAGCAAAAGGCAGGGCTGGACACCCAAGGAGAACATAAAGCAGAAATCCTAAGGATAATGCTTATCTGTTTTTGATTCTTCAAATACTCTTAACAATCATAAGGGAAAAAAAAAGTAATTACACATTCAAAACAGCTTATCATTAAAATACATGAAAAATAACCTTGTACGATTAAGATTCTGTGTTTTTTTCTTTTTTTCTCTTTCCTTTTCTTTTCCTTTTTATTAATTTGGTGTTTTGATGCATTGGCAAATATGTTTTTACTTTAACACAGTGGAGTACCAGGAATAGTACTGCTATATCATACGTATTTTTATTTTCATTAAAAGTAAAATTACATGTCTATTTTAGACTTGTTTGGGTCATCCTGGGAGACTAAACCATGACAGCAGCACAGGGAATTCTGGGAAGCTGTACAGAAGAACTCTCTAACAGTGGGAACAACTAAATATGGGAGAGCCATCAAGGTTAATGACCTTTCCTTCCATGAAGACCTTTCAATCGGCTGCAAAGAGTGAAAATTTCATTCTTCTAAGACATTTTTAAGTGTGGACATGCTTGAGGGAAGAAGAGATAGGAATTACATCATGGGCTTCACATCTTTTTATTTTGGCACCAGAACATTTATTCATATCAAACTTCTTCCAGATTGCCTACTATACAAAAGAAAGAAAACCTATTATGCTTTCTTTCTTTCTTGGTATTTTCAGTTATCACTGTTGGACACAATTTGTTTGTGAAGCAAGGCCCAGAAGCATCTCCAGAGTGTCTTAATGCCTCTCAGAGTCTAAGCCAAAATCATGATTAGCAGTTTGATTGTATTTTAACTGCCAGTGTCTTCAAGTAATTTTAAACTCATGACTAAGATTAGGTTCATATTTCATAGTGTTGATGGGGACAAACAATTGTGCTGAAAAGAACAAAAGTGAAAATACTGTTCATACACTAGGGTGATATCTGGCTTTCGTCCTACAACAGGCATCAGTGGGAACACCGCCAGAAGCAAAGAGAAAAGAGTCCAACCCAGTGATGTGACCTAAAATAAAGAGAAAAGTCAACTTTAGACACACAAGGTACAGGAGACCTCAGTGTTGCACAGACTGCATGGCTGTGAAACTCAAAGGGAAATGCAAAACCTTCCAAGTGTTTACTTGAAAAGGGAATAGTTATTGTTATTCATGGGCGACTGTCACATACTAGGGAAGGGACTGGATAGCCGAGAGCACTATCTCATTTAATTCTCACAACAACCTTAAGGGAGGTTTAATTATTCACAGCACTTCGGATGAGGAATCTGAGCTCAGAGGAGTGAAGGTTAAGTACCAGGTCCACAATTAGTGAACAAAACGGCCAGGATCTAACCCCCAGCCTCCTATTTCAATGCACGTGCTTCGTTCCATTTGTGTTACACTGCATACTGACTGCACCGCCAAGAAAGCTGACTTGCAATAATGATCAAATACTCGAGCGCAGATGGGAACTAAGTAAAAATACTTTTGTAATTAGATTAAGACAAAAATGATCAATAATCCCATTACGTGGAGACCTTTTTAAATTCTCAAACATAGAAAGAAGGTAATTCTGTCTTCCCACTACCTCCATCAAAAGTGGAAACATGAGAATACTCTTTGTGGGTGCGCATTGGAATTCCCACTAGCTAGAGGAAGAAACTCAGGAGTAACTATTTCTAAGTAGTCTATCATGACTATCTACTTCTCAAGGGGAAATGCTTGTAGTAGTTAAGTTTGTATGTCAACTTGGCTGGGCCTGGTCGAGTGGCTGGGCAGCTGGATGTAGTATGCCCCATGATGAGACTGGCAATCAACTCCATGGTGGAATCTACTGTGAGCAGCTGAGTAGCTGCCTTAGGGCTGTGGTCTGCTGCTTGTATATAAGGAAAAGCCTTGGGGAATGGTCTCTAGCTTATGGCATGCTCGAACCCTGCACATAGCCAAGTCGTTGTTCAGCAGCCTGCCATGCTCTGCCCATCTTGGGACTTTCAATGGACTTGAATTAATGGCCTGCCACGTGGTTTGGTAATATCAGGACTGTGCCTTGTTACTTGTCGACCTTGGGTTTGTCAGACTCAGCAGCCAGTGGCTGAGTGAAGAAAAGCCTCCAGCTTCAGTGGGCTGGGAGCAGGAGGCAGAGCTGAAAGCCAAGGTTGAGGGGCTTTCACCCAGCCCCTAGAGCCTGGCACTTTAAACTTGGACTTAAAGCCTCCAAATTGTAAGAAAAAACTCCTGTTTGTTAAAGCCACCCATTTGTGGTATTTCTGTTAGAGTGGTACAATGTAACCAAAATAACACTGAATTGTTAAAGAGCTGGGGAGGTGGCACAGGCCTAGCGGGAGGTGGTGCCTCTGCTGCCAGTCCCCAGCACACTCTGGCTACGTGACTGGGCTTCTTGGGGCTTCTCTGGGCAGTCCCTTGGCTGCTCCACCATCTAGAGATTTCAGGTTCCAGGAATTCAGGACGTGCTTCAGAGAAAGACAGCTAGCTCTGATGCTACAGTATTTCAATCATCACATCCCTAGCCCATGTTGATATGAAAGACTGTGAATCATTGAAACTTCAGAGACAGCCTCAATCCTGAAGTCAAAAGGACTAGGCACTTTACATAAGGATCTTTCTACCCTTTTGTTAAAGAAAGAAACATTTCTACAGTTAAACACAGACCCAAACAAAGTAGTTACTAGTCTGTCCTATGACAAAATTTGTATGCATACCTTCGCTCGAGTCCACAGCCGAGTGAAAAATGGCCAGCCCGCAAATGCAATGAGTCCAGCTGTAAGCATATAGCGGTAGAAAAAACTGAGAACCTAGTAACGCATTCCAAAGGAGAAATGAAAAACAGGGTCACTGAACACTAGTTACATAGATCTGAGAGCAATCTGAAAATGCTGCAATCTGGTAAACTACTCACCAATACTTCAATTCCCAAGGTAAAGACTAACAGACAGCCAACAAAATGACGCAGAGGGAAGGTCAACAGTGAGGCGACAAGATCCTGAATAACTTGAAATCTGTTGAAAAGATGACAGAAGGAGACTACTTATGTTCTATACAGAAAAAAAAATCTTAGGACATATATAGTGAAGAATAAAAACTTGGGACAAATCTGGAAACCAGGAAATTTTCAACTTATAGATTATTCAAAACCTATGATAAACTCTAATAGATTTGTTTCACTTACTTGAATTTTGTTTTGGAATTTTGAAGTATTTTAGGAAAATTTAAATGTCTGAATTAATTTGATAATGATTACAAAGGTTTGCTCGGTTTTTATAAACACTAGTTTTGGAATGACAATAAATGAGTTTGATCTTAGTTTATATGTAGCAATGTACAACTAAAGACAGAATATCAAAAATAAAATACAATGAACCCAAAAGAATACAAATTGAAAACTTAAAGAATTCACCAAGGTTCACCTCATATAGAATTCTCACCTGTCTAAATGAAGTAAGATATTTTTTCCTACTTTAAGTAGGGGAAATCTTAACATCCTCTTTTCACTGAGCTAAATAAGTTTTTCCAAAACCAATATAAGATATCACTAATTGTACACTAAGTGCAATTGCATATAAATTTATAATCATTAAAAATGTATTTATACTTAAGTATTTTTTGTATTTTATCATTGGAAAAAAATACTTTAGCATTTGTAGTGTATTATTAAATGACTAATTACAAAAGGTCAGTATCATTGGGTTTAGGACCTTTCTGTGATTGAAAAGAATGGTCGCATAATGTTACCAAAGCTGTAAGATGCCATGTAGAGAACAAATGCTAACACCAGTCCAAAAGAGAGTGTTTCTTTTGTTCTCTACAGTGAAAGAAATGATTTTATAAGATCATTGATCTTTTATTGCCTATACAATGTCTCAAAAATAAGATAGAAAACAATGTACTTTCAAAATTGCATGTTCCCTTGAGATTTAAATACATATGTTGTCTTCATAATTAGGACATTTAAAAATTCAGAAGGTGTTCTGTAGTGAGGTAAAATGTTCTAAAATGATAAAACCTTTCTTTATAAAAATGTTAAGATTAAACAGCAATAGAAAAACCCCTGATTAGAATACAATACCCACCACCCTGTTCCTTCAAATGGAGGAGGAGCAGGATGTTCTTTGGTCAGTGTTTTGGGGTTTTTTTGGCCTAACAGAGCCACACCGCATATACTGCACTTTGCTTTATTGAACTTTGTAGACAATGTGTGTAGTAGTTACGTTTGTGTGTCAACTCGGCTGGGCCTGGTTGAATGGCTGGGCAGCTGGTGGTAGTTATTCCCCATGATGAGACTGGCAATCAACTCCATGGAGGGATCTATCAAAAGCAGCTGAGTAGCTGCCTTAGGGCTATAGTCTGCTTCCTGTATATAAGGAGAAGCCTCGGGAATGGTCTCCAGCTTATGGCATACTTGGACCCTGCATGTAGCCGTGTCATTGTTCAGCAGCCTGCCATGCTCTGCCAACCTTGGGACTGACAATGAACTTGAATTAATGGCCTGCTGTGTGGTGTGGTAACATTGGGAGTGTGCCTTTTTATTTGTCAACCTTGGGTATGTCAGCCTCAGCAGCTAGCAGCTGTCTGAGCATAGAAATGCCTCTAGCTCCAGTGGGCCAAGAGCAGGAGGTGGAGCTGGAACCCAAGGTTGAGGGGCTTTCACCCAGCCCTTAGAGCCTGGCACTTTGAACTTGGATTTCTAGCCTCCTGAACTGTAAGAGAAAAAACTCCTGTTTACTAATCATCCCATTTGTGATATATTTCTTGTCAGAGCGACACTAGGTAACCAGAACAATGTGTTTTTACAAAGTGAAGGTTTGTGGCAACCTGGTGTTGAGCAAGCCTCTGGGCGTCATTTTTTCCAACAGAACATGCTTACTTCACATCTGTGCATCCTAGCCTGGCAGCTCTGCTGAAATCTGTTCAGCATCAGAGAGACACGCAAGCCTCCCCTGACAGAGAGGTGGGGGCTGCACGAGGTGCACTGACGGGAATAAACCAAGGCCACCTCATGGCAGGCAAGAATTCTACCACTGAATCACCCCTGCTTTAGTGGAGTCACGTAGAAGAGCTCGAAACTTGCCTGGCAGCCTTACTTCTATGTTTTCTACAATGAGAAGAATCTATAACATTAGTCCAAATTACAAGAGAGCCCTTAAGGTAGAACCACAGCATATGTGAATATCGACTAATCTCTGTATTTACACATTACTATACAAGAATAAATTATAAAGGTTTCATTGATCTACGTTGACCTAGGCTAGGAAACACACTGTCTTTGAGTCAAATCTGACTCACAGCGACCCCTCCTTGGGTTTCCAAACTCATTGCTGTGGAGCTGAATTCCAACTCATAGTGACCCTATGGGACAGGGTAGAACTGGAGCTCTGGTAGCATAGTGGCTAAGGCACTTGACTGCTAACCAGAAGGCTGGCGGTTCAAACCCACCAGCCACTACCTCGGAAGGAAGATGGGGCAATCTACTTCCGTAGTGATACTGCCTCAGAAACCCAAGGAGAGGTCGCTATGGGTCAGGTTTGACTCGACGGCATATAACAACAACAACAACAACCCCATAGGGTTTCCAAGGCTGTAATCTTTATGGAAGCTCAATGTCTCATCTTTCTCCTACAGAGTGCTGGTGGGATCAAACTGCTGACCTTTCAGTTAGCGGCCAAGCACTTAACCACTGTGCTACTAGGGCCCCCTAGTCTAGGCACAGTGCAAGCAATACTAATGATTTTACTTTTATTCCAGATTTTTCTTATTAAAGACACATTAAGAAGGGAACAAGGTCACTGCTAGGTCAGGACAATAAAGGAGAAGTTAAAAGAGAAAAGTAAAACAAAAAGGATACTTATATTTAACATTTTATGTGCCTATAAATGACTTAAGAGGGCTTGACAACTTTAGGGTGTCATGAATATGGCTTTGATGACTAAGCTACAGAAATCTAGTCTACTTTAAATACATATTTAACTGTAAATGAAGTGAAAAACCTCAGTAGCAAGATGCATTACTTACTCTCTTAGAACTGCATACCATATGGGCACCGGCAACAAACTATATATGTAGTAAGTCCAGGGACAGGCTTGAATCAGCAGGAAGAATGCCACTAAGACGCCAGTCACTATAAAACTACACAGCAAGAACCAGCTTGGTTTCTGAAAATCAAACAAAACACTGAAACAGTTCCAAATCCACACTAATTGACAATTTTTAAAAAGACATTTTGTAAAGTGAAGAAATTGTGTTACTTTGTTCCAATAGCTCTATAACTAATGATTAACCAAAAATTTACGTAAAAAAAAAAAAAAAAAAAAAAACACTCAGTGTCATTTGAGAAGCCCACTACAGAAGAGACAGCTGAATAGCATGGAATGTCTGCAGTTAGGCAACTGTCAACTTACAAGTGTACTATGTTCCTAAAGTTTGTTTGCAAATAATTTGCTCAGAACTCTGAACACATTGTCCCTTAGAAACAACTTCATAAATGTTGATTGAGCTCCGTGGTTAGCTCACAAAAGCCTATGTAGCCCACAATGAACTGTAGGATGTAATCTTCATTTGAGATAATGTTTCTATCTATTCAAGGTCCAACTTCACCTGCCACTCACAATACTCTCTCCACTGCTCACCCACAGTGGATGCCAGACAAAGACTGGAGTTCCTCTGTGTAAATCCCTAACTGGCCTCTATCGGCCTGCCCAGTGCAAGGACACCTGGGTGAGGAAGAGGAACATAAATGACTGAGGTAAGGACGCATGTATAGGGAAGCTGTCATTCTAAGAACAAGAGGGAAAGAGGGCTTAGAAAGGAGTATAAAGTATAACTGCAGACTTTAGAAGAGGTTGAGCGTACCGTGAAAGGGAAAACCAGGATGGGAGAGGCAACCCAGTATGCCTTTGTGTCCATTCCTTGTTTTCTCTATTTTCCCTTTGCTTTGCTAGCCAAAGCTAAATAGGTAAGGATTAAGAACTGCACCCTCCAAGTAGGGGGATTTAGAGAGGAAAAGCATGAGACTTTTTCTTCTTTTTCAACTTCCACTCTATTGGCATAAACTATCATCAGAAGGGAAGTAAGACAGGAGGATAAATTAGGGCACAGTAGCAAAAAAGGAGGGTTGTAATTAGGAGTTTGGAGCCTGCCAGATTAGAGTTGAAATTCTGATTTGATAGCTTTCTAGCTCCTAAATTTTTATTATCAGATAAAGTTAAATATATTGCTCTAAAATAATTTTCTGACCATCTATAACAGAAAGATATGGGATACTGACAACATGCTAAATAATTACAAGAAAGAACAGAAAAGAGATCAATAAATCAGAGTTAGCTTAATACAATGCCTAAACATTGCGTGAATGATACCAAGTGATGTGATTAAATCCCTTTTCTCAGTCCTAGTATTTCACACAGGAGATCTGGTAGCATAGTGCCTAAGGCACCTGACTGCTCACCAGAAGGCTGGTGGTTCAAACCCACCAGCCACTCCTCAGAAGTAAGATGGGGCAATCTACTTCCGTAGTGATACTGCCTCAGAAACCCAAGAAGGGGTCGCTATGAGTCGGGTCTGACTCGACAGCATAAAACAACAACAACAACAACAGTATTTCACACTATTACTTGAATGTTCATTACATTCTCTGGACCTACCTTAACTTCTTTGCTAACACATCTTGTAAGGTTGGAATGAGACTTGATGATCAACAAAGAAACATAAGATGTCCATCCCACAAAACCAGTAACAACATTGATACCCAAAAAGAATCTGTCGTAAGTGTGATAATAGGACAATCCTTTCAATGCAAGATTAATCAGCTCCTTGCAAAGGGAGACCTATAGAGGAAGGAAAACATAATTTGTTACATGGAAAGAACACGAAAAGCTAAATTTTAAAGAAAGGAACATTGTGAAGTTCCTACAAACACTGTATTAAAATTAGAGTGAGTAACTGTAAATGATGGATCAAGAAGAGATTTTAATTGTTGAAGGATCTTCTTGTAAAATACAATAAAAATTCCTGAATAAACTGAACTGTTTTCAATCTTGATAAAGGAGGGAATTTTAAACATAAGCAGTCTTCATATGTGCCGTATCTTAAAGTTATTCACTTCCGTGGAAATGATCTTCAGATGACATGAGAAAAAGAATAAAGGCTCTCTAACATAGGTGCCAAATAACTGAGACACCAACACTTACATCATTTTTTTACTTTCTTATATCAGATTATGGAAATCAGTGATGAAACATCACTCTATGTTTAAAGAAGAGTGGCTTACCATGCTAAAACTGCAACGAAAATAAGCATCAGAAATGGTTAGTATTACGCAGACATTCTGGACACTGAAAGTAAAATTTTTTCTTACTTTAAAAATATGAGACAATTTAACAAAAAGAAAACAATTAATGAAAAATAGACTAGGGCAGGAGTTAGAAGAGTCAGAGTTCCAATATGAATTGTTAGACTTCTTATAAATCCAAGACAATCCCAGTGCCAGCAAGTTGATTCTGACTCGTAGCAACCCCCATGGGTTTCCAAGGCAGTAAATCTTTAGGGAAATAGATCACCCCACCTTCCTTCCATGAAGCAGCTGGTGGGTTTGAACCACCAACCTTCTGGTTAGCAGTCAAATGCCTTAGGCACTGCACCACCAGAGCTCCTTAGACTTCTTATAGTGTATAAGTAATTCTAAATGTACAAATATGTCATGTTCTAAAATATTATATATTAAGTGGGGTAACAGAATCTTGGAATGTATTTTCTCATTATATTAAAAAAAAAAGTCATAGTAGTAGTTCATTTTCCAACATCCACTTACAAAATTACCGATACTATTACCTGAAATAAGAGGCGTATGCACAAGGCTGGAGCGGCCACTCAGGATATTCAACCCTGTCTTGAGAGTCCAGGAAAGCTCCCTGCTCTCCTCCCTTTGCTCTCATCTCCACACCTGGCCCTATCTCAGAAATGATGACCAGCAATTCATACATATAAGGGCTGTATACTTACTACTTCATCATACTTTCTCTGTTTTATATAAGATCTTGCTTTTCTTAAAATGTTGAGCTGTTTAGAATCAGAAAGTAACCTACAAAAAAAAAAGCATAGGTTTAAGATGCTTCCTTATTTCCATTATACACGTGTGTGTGTATACACACACACACACACACACACATATATATATATATATATACACACACACACGGTATGTGTGTGTATATATATATATATATATACATATATTATATATAAAATGGGTATATATATATATGTGTGTGTTTGTGTATGTAGAAGATTTACAGCCTCGGAAATACAAAGGGGGTCGCTATGAGTTGGAATCGACTCAATGGCTGTGAGTTTGAGTTTTTTGTTCATATATATATATAGATATAGATATAGATATACACACACAACTCACTGTCATCAAGTCAAATCTGAGTTATAGTGATCCCTCTTGGGTTTCCAAGGTTGTATCTCTATGGAAGTAAATCGCCTGATCTTCCTTCTGAGGAGCAGCTGGTGGGTTTGAATTGCCAGCCTCTGGCTAGCAGTCAAATGCCTTAGGCACTACACCACCAGAGCATGTACACACACACACACACACACATACACGTATGTATGTATGTGTATATGCTGAATTGAAAATATGGTAAAAATTGAGGGAAAAAAATGGAAGAAAAAGATTTCAAACTAAATTTGAACTCTTCCAAGGAACAGCTTACAGTTACCCTTGGTTTTCCTGACCCTGAAGTTTGAACTGCCAAACCATGTTTATGAAAGTCATATACCCCGCCCCCTTCATGTTGAAGAAATGTAACACTCTGGCTAACAAACTCTTAACTACATGGAAGTAACTCAGGGAACAGCAGACACACGGTATGAGTTCTACCCCTCAGGCTTCTATGTTCACGGCAGACATGGCAAACACGACAGACAGGGCAAATCCATCGAGGGGCTTTTCATCCCTGAGTCCCGACGGGGCCTAGGAATCTTTATCATCTAAGAGCTCCAGGCAGGGCCCAGTCGCTAACAGAGTTAGAGGACAATTGGAATCTACTGACCATTCCTGCACTAAATCATTTGTCGTTTTGGGTGCCCTATCTTTCATTTGTTTTCCCCTCATGTTCCTGTGTTGTTTCACCACCGTAGAAACCTTAAGTAAACAAAGGTAATATCCCGAGAAACAGTGAGCAACCTGAAAGTCTCTGTCTCTCTCTCTCTCTAACAGCATTAAGTTTATGGAATGTAGAAACTACGGAAGTATAACCAGAACTCAACTGCATTATTAAATAAGCACATTTAAGCACAAAATTGAACATATACACACCTTAACGAAAACTTACACTCCTAAATGGAATACCTTTACATTTAAAAACTGTATGACCAGTTATTTAAGGATATGCTAGGTTGGATTGTATGAAATTGCTATCTTTGTATGTCAAAAATGAAATACTACATACAAAATACTACTAAATTAAATATTGGCAATTTCATATGGTTCAACCTAATATGATCCCCTATCTTCTATTTGGTTCCAGCAGTCCTCAAAGAGATATAACTAAAGCTGAAGGAAGTGAAGCAGTGGTTACTAATTTGCTTACTAATTTTATGTATAATTTCTTGAATCCCAGAAGCCCATGTATGGACCCCCAAGGGTTCTTTTGGAATCCTTGATAAAGAAGCTGTGGCTATTCTAAGGATTTGCAGATCTTTCAACTCAGGGGCACCCAATCACGGGGTTCTCACTGTTTCAGACTGTAGGAAAATTCCCCACTCCTGGATTCACTGGGATCTAGAAGAAAAGAGTGCTAAGGAAGGAACATAATCAAGTTACTTCAAACGCTGCCTTGACTCAATTCTCCGTCCCTTCAAACACCACACATTTTGGAATATTTTCCTAAGAAAAGTTTTAGAAATGGAATTATACTAACCCAAAGGCATTTTTTGAAAGTAGAAGAAGGCTATATCTAAGTGGGATTTGCAAATTTTCTGTAAAAGCCTTTTTAGTTGATCTCCCCTCCCCCTGACTCTGTCTGATCCACTCAGCTTCCTAAAGAACTCATTATATCCTCAAACTTACTTGCAGTTGTTATGGGTTTCTTACTGTCTACTTTTATCGATTCCAAACTCCCTGGTCTATTAATAACCCTCTCTTGTGCTCTGATAGCGTAGTGCCTAAGGAGCTTGACTGCTAACCAGAAAGCTGGCGGTTCAAACCCACCAGCCACTCCTAGGTAGGAAGGTTGGGCAATCTACTTCCATAGTGATACTGCCTCAGAAACCCAAGGAGGGGTCGCTATGAGTCAGGTCTGACTCGATGGCACATAACAACAACAACAACAGCTTGTATTCTATTTCATTTCCCATTATCCCAACTGTGTATTGCCTCAGCTGGACAATGGTTACACTCTTTGTTCTTCCCCAATCTTGTATTCACATCTGAGTTCTTGCTTGTAAAGACCCAACCCTCTCCCCATTCCAAAATCAAATCTTCCTCATCCTTTATGGTTCACACCAAATCTCACCTCACGCCATATTAGCACTTTATTTTGGTCTAATGATGAGTTTATTTCTCTCCAATTGAACTTATCCTCCATATGGGCCAAGAAAATGTCCTGTAATTTCATTTTATCTGTAATCATACTTAGCAAAGTGCTAAGCACATAAAATGAATCAATATATTTAAGATGATTAAAATGCTATCAAAATATTACAGACCTAAAAAGGGAAGAAAAATAAGAGATAACCTATGTGATCATTTTTGAAGCACCTAAGGATTTGGTAAATTAAATAAAGATGAAAAGAAAGTTTGTCTAGAACTAAACAGTCAACTACTTACTGTGTACTCTTAGGTGAAGTTTTGAGAAGAATAAGAGAGGGATGTTTTTAAAAAGAAATATTTGTACTGTATTATGTGATATATGATATGATATGATATATAGAGCACTCAGGTAAAGAAATATGTTAGGCTAACATAATTTTTCCTAAGTGGATGACTTATAAATCTTGGGACACACCAAAGAATGTTCACAATATGCTTGGGATTCATAAATGTGCTCTGTACACACTTCACTTTAGCTCTCATAATATTAAATATAAAGACTCTCAAAAACTTGTCTCCCAATTAAAAAAAAAAAAACTTTTAGTTTTCTATCACATTGAGAAGGATGCAAACTAAAATAAAAAGTATTTTCAAACAATTTTGTGAGAAACAAAGTTCAGAACAGAGGTACAATATGCTCACATTTGTGTAAACAAAATAAAACCAAGAAAAAACAGTGACAATAACACAACAAGGGGGGCAGCTAGAAGGGCAATAATTAAAGGAATAAAACTCATTGCTGTTGAGTTGATTCCAACTCACAGTGACCCTGTAGGACAGAGCAGTACTGCCCTATAGGGTTCCCAAAGGCTGTAATATTTATGGAAGCAGATTGCCACATCTTTCTCCAGTGGAGTAGCTGGTGGTTCAAACTGCTGACCTTTCAGTTAGCAGCTACACACTTAACCACTGGGTCACCAGGGCTCCAAAATTAAAAGAAGAACATATAAAACTTAAAATGAAGAAACGATTCTACATGTCTCAATATGAATAAATCTTGAAAATCACACTGAATGGAGAAAAGGAGAACTGAAAAAAAAATAGCAGCTTGGTACCATTTACATAACACTAAAAATAGTGAAAAGACAATTATATATATATATATAATATATATAAGAGGAGCTCTGGTAGCTTAGTGCCTAAGGCACTTGGCTGCTAACTAGAAGGC